GATAGATAATAGATAGATAGATAGAGGGATAGAGGGATAGATGGATAAATAGATAGCAAAACAATCAAACTGAGTACTCAAAATACCCATGAAGAATCAACCAGGGAAGCTATGGGGAGGCAGTCAGCTGGAGTTCCCAATAAAGAGAGTCCTGGGTAGAGCAGAGCATCCCCTTGGGTGACACTTCCAAGGAAAAGAACAAATAACAACAGCTAAAGATAAAAAGATGATAAAATCACAAGTCATGGCATCCAGCAGGAACCATTGGGTGAAGTTGAGGCAGTGATTGGGAACGAGTCCCCGTTGGCCCTTCATCCCACAGCTGAGTTTCCTTTTTCTGAATATCCAGCTTGTCTCTCTCCCACTGCAGAGACCTTTATAGTTTCTATCATAGGGTGAGCACTAGAGACCTCTGTTGGAAAAAGGTCACCTTTCAGATGTTCTCTAGCACCAGATATTTTTAGTCTTGGCTGGTTTTCATGTTCCCTTCCTGTCACAGAGTTGGGGGGGCATGGGGTCTTGGAGGACACTTGACATAAATATGTTTGGGTGTCAAGTTGGGGAGCAACCCCACTTTCAGAACCAGTTTATCATTGAACTCAAATAACACATGGCAATTTACAGATACAATAGACATTACAACATGACAGACCTAGTCACCAAGGAGACATCTGTTGGGACCCAGCCCCCACGGGGTCTCTAAGAGTTGTTTTCCACCATAACCATGGGTACCTCCTGTTTTCCTGACCTCACCCCACTAGCATCAGTATCCTATTGTGAAACCTTTGACCTGGGGTTTTTGTAAATTTGTATATAAGGCTGCTCCACAATAAAGGTGAGAGACATTGTCTCAGAAAGTGGACCAGGCGTCTTGTTGTTCATCCAAATCTCCAGGCTTTCGCCCGATACTTGGACTTAGTAGTTGCCAAGAGCAGCCACAGACATGTCACTCATATCATATAAAGGAAGATGTACCTCCCAGAGCCCTTCTAAAAATATTCTACTTTTCAACAATTCAGTCTTGGTTTCAGTTTTATTACTCATTTCAGGTACAGGCAACTGCAGCAAGGGGGAGCAACTGCACCCCCAATACAGAGAGAGCTACTGTGATTGCCCCCACAGATACTCTACTATCTGTTAGCTCTTCCTACCTCAGTTGCCTGTCTTATCACCCACCCATAGCAGGGACCACATAGCTAACACATCTTTATTCCCATGGGCCTGTCCCTGTTGGAGCTAATTGTGTTTCGTGCTTTCTTCTCGATAGACCTGTATAAATATCCTTTTACTCCTGAGACAGGGTAGTGATGACAGACCAAAGAAATGATTTCACCCAAGTCTGGCTTGAACTAGAGAATTCACGGGGTCACTTATAGGAACGTGGATGACTCAGGCAGCTGTTCCACTGATTAGGCAACCCTGCTGTGGGTGACAACTCATGAAAGCTATGTGACTGGAATTCCTAGATGATTTGCAGGTGCTCCACCACAGTTCCCTTTACTCCTAGTAAAACAGCCACTATCTTCAGGAGATCAGCTCTGTCTGCTTACGGGCGTCCTTTTGACCCTCATACGACAGTCCAGTGGCTCTTCCCAGAATCTGTATACAATTCTGTTCTAATTACCCAAGACTTTGGAGTATCTAGAAGTGGTAGGGTGAACAAGCTGAGGAAAGTTAATTGAGAGAGGCTCCATTTAATTAATGATGTGGAGGCCATCATTTGTTTTTGGGTGTAGACTTCCCAGTATGGCTGCTTTGGGATCAGCCATACTCCTGTCAATAACCCCTGTTGATACTCTGTAAGTAAGCCCCATACATTCATTGGTTCCCCAGGGTAAATTTTGGTGAAATTGCACTTTGGTTTGTCATTGGGATTTTTTTTGGGGAGGGAGTAGACATTTAAATCTCCTGGGGAGGGAAGGAATTCTCCCAGCACTCCCTTCTCCTCCTAGGACGGAATGTTTCAAATTTGAGGAAATAATTGTAGGCTAGGTCATGTCTATGAGACTTTTGATGGAGATGTTAGAACTGGCCTTGAAATCAGGAATAGTCACACATGATTTTAATCCTTGGAGTTGAGACAATAGGATTGTGAGCTTGAGGCAATCTTGGGTTATGGAAGGAGACCTTGTCACGAATAAACAAAGAACTGAACTTGGGTATGCAAGTCATACTGGGCTCATACTAACCATAACAATTTGATAGTTAATCATTAAGATACATGGTATTCTCTCTCTCTCTCTCTCTCTCTCTCTCTCTCTCTCTCTCTTCTTCTCTCTTCTTCATTCTTTCTTCTTCTTCTTCTTCATTATTATTATTATTATTATTATTATTATTATTATTATTATTTTGGTTTTTCAAGGCAGGATTTCTCTGTGTAGCTCTGGCTGTCCTGGAACTTGCTTTGTAGAGCAGGCTGTCCTCAAACTCATAGAGATCCACCTGCCTCTGCCTCCTGATTGCTGGGATTACAGGTGTGTGCCACCATCACTTGGCTGGTATTAATTTTCTTATCACAGCATGTGAGAGTCAGTTCCCTCCTTCTACCATGTGGGTTCAGGGATTTGAACTTGTATTGTCAGGCTGCACAGCAATTTCATTAAGCTGATGAGCCAGCTTGCTGGCCCCTATGTGGCACTTAATGCCATGAGTTGGTCTGGGGATGTAGCTCAGTGGTGGAGCATTGCCTCGTATGTATGATGTCCAAGGTTTAATTCCCAGTACCATGAAAAAAAAACTATCAAGCCAGCTACGAGAAACCAAGGCATGGAATCCTAGGTCTTGAGGTTGGGCCTTGCCAATGGGGGCAAAGGATATCAAACTAGCAAATAATTGTTTTTCTTCTGATTGAGGTAATGGAAGAATGCATGGATAGATGGATCTTCTTTGCCACTTTCTTGGAAAAGTTGGGTCACCTTCACTCCCCCCCCCCCCCCCCCGTAGGTATCCACGAACCTCAGTGGCCTTCTGAGGGTTCTTAAGTTAGTTATTCTTCCATGCCCCAACCTTTCCCCATGTTGGGGATGAATCTCCTCCACCTCTGAGTCAAAGTTCCCCCAATGGAGAACTTCAGGCAGACATTCTAACACTGAAACAAGTCTAGAGCCCCTCACTGGAGGATTCTAGGCAGGGGCTCTCCTGCTGAGTCACTCCCCCAGCCCCTCACTGGGGATTCTAGGCAGGTGGTCTACCACTGAGACACACCCCAGCCCCTCACTGGGGGATTCTAGGCAGGGGCTCTACCACTGAGCCACACCCCAGCCCCTCACTGGGGGATTCTAGGCAAAATCTTAGTTGCTTAGCTATATTCTCAGGTGAAAACAGCTGAATTGGGTCAATATCCTCTCAATATATCCCGGGCAGTGGATGCTCCTCACATTAGAACCAATTTACCACTGGGCCAGAAGTTGAAATCAGGTGATAAAACACAAAAGTGGCTGAGGAAATGACCAACTGGATAGAATGCTTGCTGTGCAAGCATGAGGATCTGAGTTCAATCCCATGAAGAAGAGCAAAAAAGCAGGACTTGATAGTAAGTGTTTATAATCTGAGCTCTTGGGAGTGGGGATGGGGTGTTGGGGGAAACACAGGCAGAGCCCTGAGGTCTCCGCCCACGCAGTCTAGCCTAGCGAGTTCTAGGCTATGGAGAGACTATGTCTCAAATGAAAAATGGACAGCCCCTGGAGTGTAGCACTCAGGGTTGTCTTCAGGCTTCTACACACACCTGTTTGGATTTGCACACGCACCAACACATACACAAAAGCAAAGAAACCCAAAGCGATTTCCTTTAAAAGTTTTTCATTTATTAGTCTTTTCTAAAGCAGTTAATTCTCTTTTCTTATTTGTTTTTGTTGTTTTAAAAAAATGTGTGTTTCATCCAGAGTTATATCAAAGCGATTAAAATGAATTTTCTCCTGAGGATACAGCTCCTCAGATAAGAAAAGATTTTTCCCCAATTAACCATAAAAATAAAACCCAAAGAGCACACCAACAATCAAACATCATCCCCAAATATCCAGGACAAAAAATAAAATATTTATTGATCTATCACAGCGAAACACAAAGAGGTGGGTGGGGTGGTGGGACATTCTCTCTGGTAGAGCGGCTCCAGGAAGGGACGGACGGGGATACAGTACTGCATGTGGGGAGGATAGTCTTGCCCCAGCCCGCACAACCCCTTGCACCCCAGGCCAGCATTTGGGGTGTGTGGTGGGGGTGGGAACAGGGGACAGGCTGTACAGGCTGCCATGACAGGAGAACCAGGTTGATAGTGGGTGTGCCCAGCCAGCTAGTGGCACTAGGCAGTCAGGTTGGACGGAAGGATGGACTCATGAAAGGGTGGAAGGGTGGATGGCGGGCAGGTGGATTCCACAAGAACAAGGGAATTATTCCCAGTGTGGGAGTCTTCTGACTCCAAGGTGTCCCAGATGTAGGAAACAGCTATTGGTAGAGGGATATGGGCCAAAAGATCCAAAGAGAGAGGGATTGTGTCACCAAATCCAGCGTCAAGGCTTTTGGCTTTTGGGTACCAATTGGATGCAGCCAGGCATGGCTCCTGGTGGGCAGGGTGAGGTGGGACTGCCCAACAAAGGTGTGCACCATCTTAATAGAGGGGTTTCAGGGAAGGGAGGGTCCCCCATGGGATACCCTTCTCTTCTCCCTCCCCCCTCGAAAAAGAAGCACCAACATGTAGCACCAATTTCTCTTGGAGATGGAGACTGTGTGTGTGTGGGGAGCTCCCGGGTGGGAAGAGATGGGGCACCCCCCCTGGGCTCTAAGAAAGGGGGAAATTTCTGGTTAGGGGTACGTGGCCGCTGCTGTCTGATTTCCTTGTCCTGTGGGTTTCCAAGGCCACTGGCCTGTTGTCCCCTCCCAGGTGGGGGTCAAGGGGATGGAGTAGGGGGTGGTCATAGAAGGTTTACATTCTCCACCAAGCAGTAGCACCAACGTTGATGAGGT